ACCAGCTGCAAGCCCTGCTCGGAGCAACGCAGGCTCCAGCAGCTACCCAGAGCCAGGGTAGCTGCTGACAGCTACAGAGCCTGGGCTAGGGGTAGGAGGGAAGGGGCAGTAGGGCTGGGGGGCAGAGGCTTTGGGTGGGGGGCAAGGGGCACAAGCAGGGCATCCTGCCATGTACCCCTTGCCCTCATTTTGTTTTTCTGCCATGTCGGCACTCTGGCACCTTCCAAGGTAGGCATTATGGTGTTTTTTGGCACTCCAGCCAAAAAACGTTGCCTACCCCTGGTCTGCACTAATACTTGGGCCTAGCTTCAAGGTCACCTTAATTTAGTCTGAGTCATGTAAATTACACCTCCATGTCTACAAGCAACCTGCACAGCTTCTGTCCATATCATGGTTCTTGTTTCTTGAGCAGAGCCCTTCTGGACATAAGTCTGTGAACCCCTTCTGTACTTAGCTCTAATTGTTGGCAGTAGAGATGAGACATGAGGTACAGAAGGGCTGAAAGTCAAGAACAGGAAACTACAGGTTTGCTGATAAGTTGATTTCCTGTGTTTGTGGCTTCCAACATCAGGCTGAGTTAACAGATGCACTTCAGGGTGGTGTTGGCTATAAGCAGGCTTAACTTCATGCTCTGAAGTGCAACAGAGCTCCCATTGTCTGGCTGCTGGGATCAAGCTGAAGGGTTTACATTATGGATGTTTGGTACACTGAAGGCTATAAGGACAACCCTAATTAGCAGCATCAGAGTAAAAAAGGAGAAAATGAAAAAGGATGTTTAAAACTGCATGAGGGGTGTGGAAAGCTCAACTGTTTGGTTGCCAGATTAAAAACTAATCAAAATCTCCCTGCTTCTGCATGTGAATTTCATTTCATTATAAATTATAAAAAGCTTTCTTTCCACCCACCCACTTAACTATTCTTTCTGCTCATATGAAGAATGTTTTAAATTCAAATATAATAGAAGTAATATTGTATTACTTTTATTATGCTAATCATCATAATACATAGACTTTAATGTGTGCTTTCTAATGGAATTAAACCAGTGACAGATTATGTGTTTTATGGCAGAAATAATATTTTACATGGAATATTTAATGTAAGTCGGTTTAATATATTGAAATTTAATTATTAGTTTCTTTTTAAAGAGGGAGGGAGACCTCTGAAACCCCATAGGAACTGGGGCAATGTTTTCAATTCATAGTCTTCAATATGGATTTGATTAAGATTTAATAACAGTTATTAGATACTGTTTAAATACCAACTGCTTATGAGTCTGTGTGCATGTGCGTTGAAGTTAAACAAGAATGGGATGAAGGTGACCAAATTAGAAATCATGCATGACTCATCTGTTCTCTAAAAAGTCACAGATGCAAACTAGATTAAAACATTTATAAACATGTCAGTCGAGGGATTAGACATGCCTACAAATTTAGGGGAAGTCATAATTCACATCCAGTCTCAAGGTTGAACCCCATTTCTATACTGAGCCCAATTCAAATCTCTGTTTAGAACTTACAAATAAAAGTGTAGTACACAGAAAACAGAATCATAGATAAGTGCGTCATATATTGAGCTGCTACCATAAAAAACAGCTTGATTCTGCATATCAAGATGCAGAGGAATTCAGTGGCTGTGTGGTGCAGTCTGTGAATAGCTAAAAGTCTACTCAATTTGCAACTTCATGGATTTTGTGGAAACCATGAAATCCGGAATAGTCTATAAAATCAACTTTAGAAACTCAACAGAATTAAAATGCTGTGGTCCTCGCTGCTGTGGTCCAGCCTCACAGCCCACTGAGGGGGGAAGCCACAAGGTGGTGGGGAGGCACAAGGTGGTGGGGAGGGATGAAGGGCAGTAGACAAGATGGCAGGTGCACCCTCGTCCCTTCTCCCATGTCACAGCTTCTCCACCAATCAGAACCAAAGGGTGGGGCTGGCAGAACACATCCAGGAAATATCCACAAAATTTGTTCTTTATGCTATGACCAACCCATGAAAATTGCTTAGTCTCACTGTGATTTAAGTAGGTCCCTAGGTACAGCACTGGCCCTTGAGAAACTACCAGTAGTTTATTTCTCATACCTCCGTCTTGAAAAACTGTGAAAAAATAAACCGTGTCAAATTATCAAGCATTGAATCAATGAACACCTCATGGCAGAGGATGCTTTGGAGCCTTGCCACCTCCTCCTGTAGTTCTTTCGTCTCTCAGGGAACAGGCAAGAGAACTACAGGAGGAGGTGGCAAAGCTCCGAAGCATCCTCTGCCATGAGGCGTTCATCGATTCGATCCTTGAGGAGACCTCCGGGACTGTGGAGAAAGAAATGCCAGATGCAGCATTGAAGAAGAGAGAGGACATGGATTCCCAAGAGGGTGGAAGATAAAGCCCTGCGACTTCCAGTTGTAAGCAGAGATCTTCACCTCCACCTGCAGTTGTTCATCTGGAGAACAGATATGCAGTTCTAGCAGCAGAGAAGAAGGAGCATGTTCCATTAGTGGAGGAGGACAGGCCTGGCCTCACCAAGGTGAGTAGGATCAAGAAGCAGCAATGAGTGGTGGTGGTAGTTGGAGACTCTCTTCTGCGGGGGACAGAGGGAGCCATCTGCTGACCTGACCTGTTGTCTCAGGAGGTCTGCTGCTTACTCGGAGCCGGGATCCAAGATGTCATGGAGGGAGTACTGAAGCTCATCTGGCCCTCTGACTACTACCCTGTGCTGCTTATCCATGCTATGATACTGCCAGGGGAGACCCTGAGCATATCAAAAGTGATTACAGGGCTCTGGATACAAGGGTGAGGGGGTCTGTGACTCAGGTTGTATTCTCATCTATCCTTCTGGTCAAGGGAAAGGGCCTGGGCAGGAGCAGGTACATCCTGCAGAAGAAAACCTGGCTGTGCAGGTGGTGTTGCCAGCAGGGATTTGGCTTCTTTGACCATGGGATGTTGTTCCAAGAAGGATTGCTGGAAAGAGATGGGATCCATCTAATGAAGAAAGGTAAAAGCATCTTCTCAGACTGGCTCGCTAAGCTAGTGAGGAGGGCTCTAAATGAAGTTTGTTGGGGGATGGAGACCAAAGCTCTGGGGTAAGTGGGGAAGCAGGAGACCTGGAGGAAGAGCAAGTGGGGGGGCGGCAACAGGGGAGGAGCAATCAAACTTCCTGAGAAATCAGGGCAATCAACTAGTCACCTTGGGTGGCTGTACACAAATGCACAGAGCCTGGGAAACAAGCAGGAAGAACTGGAAGTCCTTGCACAGTCATGGCATTATGATGTGATTGGAATAACAGAGATTTGGTGGGATAGCTTGCATGACGGGAGCATTGTCATGAGTACAAGCTGTTCAGGAAGGACAGGCAGGAAAGAAGAGGAGGAGGAGTTGCACTTTATGTAAAAGAGCCATATGATTGCTCAGAGCTCCAGTATGGAACTAGAGAGAGGCCTGTTGAGAGTCTCTGGGTTACGGATAAGAGGGGAGAACAACAAGAGTGATGTTGTGGCGGGGATCTGCTATAAACCACCAGACCAGGAGGAAGTGATAGATGAGGCTTTCTTCAAACGGCTAGCAGAAGTTCTCTCATCGTAGGCCCTGGTTCTCATGGGGGACTTCAATCATCCTGACATCTGCTGGGAGGGCAATACAACAGTGCACAGGCAATCTAGGAAGTTTTGGGAAAGTATTGGGGACAACTTCCTAGTGCAAGTGCTGGAGTGGCCAAGTAAGTGCCATGTTCTTCTTGACCTGGTGCTCACAAACAGGGATGAATTGGTGGGGAATGTAGTAGTGGATGGCAGCTTAAGCAGCAGTGACCACGAGATCATTGAGTTCAGGACCCTGAGGAAAGGAAGGATAGAGAGCAGCAGAGTAAGGGCCCTGTACTTCAGAAAAACAGACTGACTCACTCAGGGAACTCATGGGCAGGATCCCCTGGGAAGCCAGAGTGAAGGGGAGAGGAGCCCAGGAAAGCTGGCTGTACTTTAAGGAAGCCTTACTGAAAGTGCAGAAACAAACCATCCTGATGTACAAGAAAACTAGCAAGTATGGCAGAAAACCAGCTTGGCTTAGCAGGGAACTCTTCAGTAAACTAAATCACAAAAGCAGCTTATAAGAAGTGGAAACTTAAAGAGATAACTAGTGAAGAATATAAGAGTATTGCTCAGGCATGCAGGGGTGAAGTCAGGAAGGCCAAAGTGCAGTTGGAGTTAGAGGTAGGGAAGGATGTGAAGGGTAACAAGAAGGGTTTCTAAAATTATGTTGGCATTAAAAGGATAATCAGGGAACATGTGGGTCCCTTACTGAATGGGGGAGGCAACCTTGTGACAGAGGATTCAGAAAAGGTTGAAGTGCATAATGCCTTTTTTTGCCTCAGTCTTCACAGGCAAGGGCAGGTTCCAGACTACTGCACTGGGCAGCACAGTTTGGAGAGGAAATGAGCAGCCCTCAGTGGTGAAAGAACAGGTTAGGGACAACTTAGAAAAACTGGATGTGTACAAGTTCATGGGGCCAGATGGGATGCACCTGAGGGTGCTGCAGGAGTTGGCTGATGTGATTGCAGACCTATTGGCCATCATCTTTGAAAACTCATAGCTCAGTTGTATTGTGCTCTCCTGGATAGGATAGAAGCCAGTATGCAGGACTGCAGGTCAGTGAAAATGCAAATGCCTGACCTGCATTCCTACATACTGGCTTCTATCCTATCCAGGAGAGCACACTACAACTGTAGACTCTCCCCCTGCCTGAAGAAGGGTGTTTGTACCTGAAAGCTTGCAAAGAACAATTTTTCCAACTATTTAGGTGGTCTAAGAAAATGTGATATCACATTTACCCGAAGAACCTTGTCTCCCTATTTTCACAGTATTTCAGGAATCAACAAGACTACTAGGTTTGCTATGAATATCCCCATTCAAGTGGGAGCACATGTAAGCTTGTTACCTTGCAAGGAATGCAGCCCTCTACAACAGTGGATGCTTCCCTCAGTCCCCAACATCTGTTGAAACAAGGGCAATTGCTGTACTGGTTTTGTGATTTCATCAGCTGCAGACTTTCCTTTGCCCCTTCCAGCATCTTGCTTGAATCAGTCCTTCTGAGACTTACACACAATGCTCCTCACTTTCCCTGTGTAAAGTGAGGGTGGATCAATCTGAACTGTCTAATAACAATGGTGTTGTGAGAGTGAATATGCCTAAAGCCCTCTGAGATTCTTGGATGGCATATGCTCATAGTGAAAACATGAGTATACATTGCCTAGAGTTGGTCAGAGGGTGCACCCGAATCTTCTGCACAAGATGCATGGGAGGGAAGAAAGAGGTTTCAAAAGAATTTATACGGGCTATTACTTTTTAATTACACTGTAAACCAAATCCCAAACAGGGGATGCTCTGAAGCCCTCGGCTACCTCACTAGCAGAGGCACGCATGTAACTAAACTATGTCTTTAGAACTGTACTGTGCTGTATTCAGGCTATGCACTGCTAGGTGGAAGTCTCAGCAAAATAACAGTACTCCCTGGATAAATATTCCTTCTCCATTTAGCACAGAGATCAACTTTAAAACACAAAATGCACATAACATGACTGAGAAATAAACAGCATTAGCACAGTCAAGAGATAAGCAGCATGGCTTCTCCCTTGATCTTAAATATAAAGTCCAATTAACTACTAGGAAATGAAACGCACTTAGTCACTTACGTAAGTGAAGAAGAATAGTTATGTAGACAGGAATCCAGCTTGTCAGTGAGACCATTTTGAGTTTTGGTGACAGAAATTTCACCCAAACTTTCTGATTTCCTTTAAGCATAGAAAAATGAGAGCCAGGCTGGGTTAAATGATTGTAATAGGAAATGGTAGTCACATCCTGAGTTCTTCTGCTTTTGCAAATGCAAGTTCCGTTTTTGGATTAAGTTCAAGAAAGCAGTAACCTCTGTGACTCAACAAGTTACACAGAAATGATGGATTGTAAACAGCTCCAACCCAAACAAGAGTCTTGCGTGTTCAGGCAACAGCAGATATGTAAACACTAGTGAAATGGTCTTTCCAAAAATCTTCTGCAAAGTGACAGATCTCCCTGCTGCTCCTGTGACCCAAAAGGGATCACTATGATCCAAAAAAGGAAGTGAGACCATCCCACTGCTCCCTCTGTAGACCCACCCCTGAGTGTGGCAGCTGGAGAATGGCTATTTTGGCTCACAAAGGATAACAGAATTCTGTCCCAAGTGACCACAATAAAACCCCAAGCCAGGTATTGAAAATACTTGGGATGTGGATTCAGTGGATCAGACCTGTTTCTGAAACAGTCTGGAATTGTTTGAATTGAGATCCAAAAATCTTATAGTATTCAGGGAGATCTGTGCACGTGCAGTGGGCACATCACCAAGGCAGCACAGGGCCCCTGGAGGTGGGGTAGGGATGAGGGTTATTTCCCCTTCCTTTGGCAGAAGGGGCAGCAGGGGGCTTATTCTGCTGCAGGGAGTGAGCGCAGTGGCAATGGCAGGCAAGCTTGGCTGCCAGTGGGGGTAGAGGGGATCTAACCCCCCCGCCTCAGAAGCCATGGTGTCCCACTAATGCAGCAGTGAGGTGGGGGATGTCCAGCAGCCCCAACTCAGGTCCCTGCCAGTGGGACAGGGAGGGGGGGAATTAAACCCCTCTCTTGCCAGTTCAGTCCAGACTGGCTACTTCCCCCAACACACGTCCCTGCAGTCAAGGGCGCACTCTGGCGCCCCCCAGCGCCTGGCCTGAGCAACTGCAGCATGTGCCAGCATTGCCTCGGTGCAGGGAGAACATCTGTCCTGTTACAAACTGGCTCTACCTCGGCAGGCTAGATAGACTAACCTGCAAATGGTGAATCAATTCAGATTCCAGAATGTCTGCCCCTAGCCTTGGAGGAGGAAAGGCTGTGATCACAAACAGCCAGCATGCATTTGCTAACTACAGTAAAAGCTCTGTTATCCGGCACCCGGCAGGAACGGGGGATGCTGGATACCAAAATATGCTGGTTAATTGACCGCCCCAGGTGCTGCTTCTCCAGCCGCGTCCGAGGCATCCTTCCGCAGCATCGCGGGCCCCGCGCACCCCGCAGGACAGGGAGGCAAGCCTCTCGCAGCCTATGCCCCCAGACCGTGGCGGCTCAGCAGCGCAGGCTGCTTTAACCCGGGCCGTCGGGGCTCGGAGAAACCGGAAGTGCCACAGTGGGTACTTCCGGTTTCGTTTCCCCTCACAAGCCGGTTAACAGAGCGTGCCGGGTTGTAAGGTGCCGGTTACCAGAGAGTTTACGGTACAAATCACGTCAAACAATAGTTGATCTCTTTCTTCAACCAAATGAGCTGGATGACTAGAGGGAATGTATTGGATGTAGTATATCGGGACTTCATTAAGGATTTTGACACATGACCATCTCATAACTTGGAGAAGTGTAGGATAAACACAACTAGGTCAGGGTAGAAAGACAACTGTCTCAACAGCTGAAAGCAAAGGGCAGTTATTGTTCCATATCAGAACAGCAGGAGTCACTTGCATGGATCTTTTCTAGGCCTGATGCTCTTTAATGTGTCTATTAATGGTTTGGATGCTGCAATAACGAGCTTCCTGAGAAAATTTGCAGACAACACAAAACTGGGAAGGATTGCAAGCACACTGAAACATAGGAGTACAATTTAAAAGGATCTTGATAGGTTGCAAATCTAGGCTAGAGCCAACAAGATGATGTTCAGTAGGGCTGTGTGAAGCTTTGGTCCCTGATTCGATTCAGCAGAGTTTCGGCCCAATTCATAGATTTCATAGTTTTCAGAGATGTTAGGGCTGGAAGGGACCTCGAAGATCATCAAGTCCAGTCCCCTGTCCCAGGGGCAGGAAGTCAGCTAGGGTCAAAGGACCCCAGCAAGATAAGCATCCAAGCACTTCTTGACTGAGTCCAGAGTAGGTGCCTGCACCACTTCTGGAGGGAGTCTATTCCAGCTCTTGGGGGCTCGGACAATAAAGAAATTTTTTTCTTATGTCCAGCCTAAAATGGTCTTGTAGGAATTTATGACCGTTGGTCCTTGTTTTTCCTTAGGGCACTCTGGTGAACAGACATTCTCTCAGATCCTGAGGAACACCCCTTGTGTACTTATAGGTGGCCACCAGGTCCCCGCTGAGCCTGCGCTTTTCCAGACTGAAGAGTCCCGTGGCTCTCAGCCTCTCTTCATAAGACCTATTCTGTTGCCCTCTGATCATGCGCGTGGCTCTCCTCTGGACTCTCTCAAGCTTCTCAACATCCTTCTTGAATTGCGGAGCCCAGAATTGGATGCAGTACTCCAGTTGAGGCCTCAACAAGGCTGAGTACAGCAGGAGGATGACATCCTGAGTTTTACTTGAGAAGCATCTATGGATGCAAGCCAGGGTTTTGTTTGCTTTACCAGCTGCGACATCGCATTGGTGGCTCACGTTCATCTTGTGGTCAATCATGACCCCCCAAGTCTCTTTCAGCAGTGGTGCTAGCAAGCCTAGCACTGCCGAGCCTATAAGTATGCTGTGGGTTGTTTTCCCCAAGGTGGAGTACCTTGCATTTATCGGTATTGAACGTCATCAGGCTTGTGTCCACCCACTTACTAAGCTTATCCGAGTCAGCCTGGATCACTAGCCTGTCCTCAGGTGTGGACGCTATGCCCCAAAGTTTAGTGTCATCGGGGAACTTAGCCAGTGTGCTTCTGACACCAATGTCCACATCGTTGATAAGGATGATGAAGAGAACCGGTCCAAGGACAGAGCCTTGGGGGATGCCACTGGTCACGGAGCGCCGTAATGACTCACTGCCAACAACCACTATTCTCTGGGTCCAACCTCGGACCCAATTTTCCAGCCATGGACTGTGGTGTAGCTGAGGCCACAGTTGTTCAATTTTTTTATGAGGAGGTCATGGGACACCAGACCAAAGGCTTTTTTAAAGTCCAGGTATATGACATCAATCTCTTCTCCCTTGTCCAGGTGATATGTCACCTGGTCATAGAAGGAGATAGGATTGGTAAGGCAAGACCTACCCATGACAAACCTGTGCTGTGCTGGCTATCCCTCAGGATGTTGCCCTCAGCCAGCTTATTTAGAAGGGTCTCCTTGATAATTTTCTCAAGAAGCTTACCAGGGATTGAGGTCAAGCTGTTTGGCCTGTAATTCCCAGGATCTACTTTCTGCCCTTTGTTGAAGATGGGTACCACATTGGCCTTCTTTCAGTCTTCAGGTACTTCACCTAAGTGCCATGAATTTTTGAATATTTTTGCCAATGGTTGGGCTATGACACCTGCCAGCTCCTTGAGTGCCCTAGGGTGTAATCTGTCAGGACCATCTGACTTGGAGGTGTCCAGCCTCTCAAGGTAATTCTTTACTAGATCAACACTGATGCTGGGTATAAATACGCCCTTACCCTGGCCGTTCCGCATCTTGCTAGGCAGGGTGGTCCCATTGGACTGATGAAAGACCAATGCAAAGTACCCATTAAGCAGGTTGCAGGGGTTTAGGTTGTAGCCGTGTTGGTCTAAGGATATAGGCAGACAAGGTTCCTTGGGTGAATTTGATATCTTTTATTAGACCAACCCAAATGGTTGGAGAATAGTTATTAAGCAAGCTTTCGGGTTCAAAAACCCTTCGTCAGGCTCAGGAAGCTGCAGCAGTTGGTGTGTGCTCAATTTGGAGAGACTCAGAAAAAATTGGAGATTCAGACATAGACACAGCTTTAAATGTTTTTTTGGAGATTCAGACATAGACACAGCTTTAAATGTTTTTTTGGAGATTCAGACATAGACACAGCTTTAAATGTTTTTTTTACATACCTTTATGTAGCAGGGGCTTGTGAGTGTTGCAGTGCTGGGGTACATGGAGTGTCCCACAGCAGCATGGGGGGCTCCCCAGCGCGCTCGGAAGCAGACCCAGAAGTAGACCAGAAGCACTTCTGGTCTACTTCTGGGTCTGCCGGGGAGCATGCCAGGGTGCCCCCCCTGCACCTCCCAGCTCGATGATTGGTGCCTTCTGGTCCACTTCTGGGTTAACTGCCGAGCATGCGGAGGGCTCCCCCACACTCCTGTGGGATGCTCCATGCACCCCAGCATCGCAGCGATCATAAGCCATGCCTGCTACCTCAAGGTCTATAGAAAAAACTTTAAAGCTGTGTCTATGTCCACATCACTGATTCTCCAAATCAGTATTGAATCTTCAGATTTGGATTCTGCCAAATCATATCAGGGACAATGATCCGAATCAAAGAATCAAATTACTGTCCCTGATTTGGGCCAAATCTGAATCCAAATCGAATAGGGCCCACTTTGCACACCCGTAACATTCAGTGCTGACAAATGCAAGGTGGTACACCTCAGAAAGAATAATCAAAAATCCAAATACCAAGTGGGTGACAAGGGGCTGCATGGCAGCACTACAGAGAAAGATCTAGAAGTCTTGTTGGATCACAGACTCAATATAAGGCTATAATGTGACAAAGATGCAAAAAAGGAGAATGATGTTTTGGGCTGCATTAATAGGAATACTAGGTACAAAATATGGGAGGTGATAGGGTCTCTTTACTTAGCATTGGTTAGGCCTTGTCTGTGTACAGTTTGGGGCTTCATATTTTAATATGGAGAAGTTAAAGGGCATCTAGAGGTGGACAAAAAAATGATAATGGGATTGGAAAGCAAATCTCTGCCCCCAGC